CCCCCCTCCTCCAAACCAAACCCTGTCGAGCGCTTGTAGAATAGTCATTGCTAACGTCAATAATGTCAGGTGTTAACAATGTACAGTTATTTTTATTCTGTAAATTGATCCGAAATGGATATTTTTAAAAAGTAATAATGCGAGATCCATGTAGGAACTACAGCATTTTTGGTAAAATATTGGAGAGGGAACAAGTTCGACCTGAACTTCCACCACATCTTTTATTAATCGAGAAGAAAACCCAACCTCCTCTGTCTACTCTAAAAGCGTAGGACACAAAGAACAGGAAGCTTTACTACATGGATGATGTGAAGCGGCTGGTACTGACGAGGGGGGAAAGCAGTGAAAGCTTGGATTAAACTTAAACTTGTTGATCATTCGTGTTGTCAAACAAACGTTCAACTATTCACACTACAGGGACATTTTAGAACAAGGTGGTTGTAAAGGTATGGAATATAATAAATGACTATGTGTAGAATAAAATGAAATGCTTTCTTTTTTGTAGAAGATAATAATTGCTTAGGTTCCTTTTTAATCTGTTATTTTGAGTTTAGATCTATAAAGAAAATTTGTATTTGAAAAAAAAAGTCTCCGTATTTTATAGATCTTTTCTTTTCTTTTCTTTTCTTTGTTTTTGTGCCTTCTTCACAATCCCCTGCAAGATCTCAGAGGTACAGTCAGGTACTTGACTGTTAGATTATCTAGTTCTCCAACCTGCAGTGCAACTTATTCTTGACGTATGTGACCGTTTTTCTTACATTGTAGAGCCCGTTGCTTCCAGATAGCCACATTTCGTTTTCGTATGTACTCAGAGTCATCAAATTATTACATGTATTTCAAAAGATCGTTATAGAAGAAACTTTTAGAATAATTTGATTCCCCTGCTATGGGTGCATAGTTTACCTTGAAACAATTCAAAGATGCTCTCTTATTTCTCTAAGGAACGAAGGGTGTCGGGTGAATTATAAGATAAACCTACCTTGACTATTGATTGGTTATCTTAAGAAATCAGCACTTGGTCGCGATGATGATGCGCACTGTAGCAATCTTTATAATAATATTTTATCTATTTTAAAACCGAACTACTCTTCTTTAGTAAAAAATAATACAGTTTCGCTCTTTCTATTGCTGCTGTTCTGCATGTTTATTGCTATTGCTGTTGGTTTGCTTTTGTTGTTATTGCTGTCGATATCTGTATTGTTCTTTTTATCATCTTTACTAATTGTTATTATATTTTTTGGAGTTTTGTTTGGCTAAAGTGACAGTGCCTACCCATGGTGATCCTGGGCATCGTGTATGACAATGCTGGTGACTGTGGATAGAGAGAGAAAACATAAAAGTGTCGGGCACTCTTAACTCTTGTCGTTCTAAAAAATCAATAAATAAAAGAAACAAATTAAAAAGTTAACAAAGCACAAAGAACGCATTTCTTTTTAATTCAGGAATTTTCAGAAAATGAAAAAAAAATTGAATCAAGTAAGTTCATGATGTATATCCCTGTATCCCTGAAAAGTCATGGCAAGTCTTGAATGGAGGTACAAACGGAGACCAGTTTTCGTTTGTTTGATTTTATATGGAAAGTTTATTTTTTCAAGCAAATTTTGCAGCAGAGAGCGGTACATCAGTAGATATGAGTTGTTTGTTTTATCATGCCAAAAACCTTTCACGATTCAGAAAATAAACGTAAAACCCAATATATACCATACTTCCAAAAGATATCCTGTTTTTTGGTGACCGTGAAGAATATATAAATTAAACAACAACAAAAAAACCCCCCAAAAAAACAACCCATCTCACATTGGCAATGACTATTTACGCGAGAAAACCTATTTATTAGATAGTGGCATTAGAAAAATAAACCAAGCTGCTAAAAAGCAAAAATAAAGACTACACGTATTGGTGAGAAAAAGTGATTGTAATGAATGAATGAGAGAGAGAGAGAGAGAGAGAGAGAGAGAGAGAGAGAGAGAGAGAGAGAG